CTCGCAGCTGTGTCACGCAGCGGCAGAATATCGGCGAAACACGTGTCTGGGCTTTTAGCAAGTATCTATGTCGGGAGTACGGTATAATACCTTTAATATATATATATATATGAAGGATTGCTTAGGAATGTATACAAGGCTTCTATCAACATATGCGGGCGTAGACCATAAGCACCTTGGCTGAAAAATTTTATGCAATTAATGTGGATGCAAAAGAGGTCAACAAATGTTGTGAAGAACCTAAAATCCTAGTCACGCCACTATTGACTTGCTGTATTGATCCTGTTACGCCTTCGCAAGGTCCCAGCCGATCTCACACGGACCAGCCAGAGTGAAAGGAATGGACAATATCTGATATATAAACTCCAGTCTCAATGCTGTTTTTTAAATCTCCGAAAGAATTAATGTGCGAACTTGAGGTTGATCCTCGGGAGCAAATCTGTTCATGCTCGGTCTCGTTGGCCGGTAGTTTTGAAGTGCATATTTATCCACTTTCGTTTTAGTTCCTGTATTGTGTCTGCCATTATTTGAGCCTCGGAAACTCCACTCCCGCACCGACAATTTGCTAGAAAAAAGAGAGCAGCAAAGCTCCCGAAGTCTGAGATGCAAGTTGCTAGTCGTGGCCAGTGCGATGACGTTGTCGGGCTGCGAGGAATGATTTACTCCACGTCCTCAATCGACTGTCTGACCCGAAATCCATCAAAAATCGCAATGTCGTACCTTTTCCGTATTCAGTTATGGGACATTTCCTGGGCAGGAAAATCAGTCAGGTGGGAAGGGCGTGGGCGACAACAGTTACAGCGACGACAAGCCGCATTGCCAGGTAGTCGTCCCGCCGACATCATAAAATGGATGATGCAATCGTAACAACTAAAAACTCGGATGCGGACTGGCGAGCCATCATTGCATCAAGTACCATCCCCAGTAGAGTTCGCAAAGGTCGTTAATCGTCGTATGCGTGTGGTCCCACAGCCGTCACGTGGCTCCACTACCTCTGCGATTGTCTCTCTGATGATGGGTTCGAGGGAGAATTCGAAACGTCAGGCCAACGAACTTCTTGTTTCAGCAATCGAATTTTCCTCACATTACAGTGACTTTTGATAAATTGACCTGTTTGCCATAACATGCGGGCGGTTGGATCCCAAACAGATGCACCTCTGACAGCTGATTGAACCATGGTTTATTTAAATGTAGCTATCATCTGGACGTTTCTGAGATATGTAATCCACCACAGATAATTACTCCCCTAAGCATACATGCGCGCACAGCCTGACTACAGGACAGGACTAGACAACGGGAAAATCATGGTTTGACAGACTATCAAATTCAAGGAGGACAAATAAGCCCTTTACGGAGGATTTAACGGCCCATTTGAATGTTCAAACAGTCGGTTGCTTAATTTTGATACTGAGGAATATGTCGCAGTTTGGATCGAAACGAAAAGAAGCAATGCTCATGGCAAATACAGTCATTCCTGAAGGTTTCGTCCCAATGCGTCCAGGTGCCAAACGGACTCTCCTACAGAAAATTCCTCGGAACTATTGATAAGAGAATACTTGGGAATGTATACAGGGCTTCTATTCGTTTGCAACAAAAATATGGGAAGATCTATAACTTCCTCCTTGCTGCCTCGCTTACTTCCCGAGGAATTTTTCGCCCGAAGGTGGACTAACGCCTACTCTGCAGCTCTAAATCTCCCTCGAACTGGCCACGACAAGCGGCTTGCATGTAAACTTTCTGAAATTTTGAGGAACCTTGTCCCACATGGTTGATCGTTTATACTCCTTTTTGCAACAACTTTTCGGTACTCTACGTAAACTATTCGAGGGCCTACTAATGGCAAACACAACAGAACCTAGAACGAAAGTGGTTGTATATTTACCTAAAAACTTCCAGTCAAGCAGACAGTAAAATCTATTAGGTCGGCTGAACACCACGGCGGGTGTGTCGGAGTCCCAAACGTCAGCCTGGCACATTTACTTCGGTTTGAGTGCCGTATTTAGTAGGGCCTCAAACGACAAGGTATAGTGAACTATACTTAGCTAACCTTGACCACCTACTCGAGTCTTAAGGGTGTCTTCACTGACCTTCTTCAGGTCAGTCGATCTCGGGCGAGGTCTTCCCAGCTGGTCGGATTGATTGCAGACATTTCAGGGAGGAGGTCAAAGAATCCTTGTATAGACGGATTTGGCCTCTGTGGCGGCGTAAACCCGTTGCGACATCTCCATAGGAGAGTCGTTTAGATAGCCTCCCGTTGTCCATTCGTACGAGGTGGTCGCTCCAACGCAGTTGTACTTGTCTCAGCATGGCGTAGATGCTGATAATTCCCATACGTTCCAGCACATCCGTGTCGGGGATCCGGTTCTGCCACTTTAGCCTCTGTATCCGTCAAAGACAGCTGAGGTGAAAGTGGTTGAGTCTTCGTGCCTGCTTCTTGTAGACTGCCTTGTACATCCTCAACTTGTTGCTGAGATGGAAGCTGTGACGGTTCCAGACGGCGTTCTGCAGACGGTCGAAGGCTTGACTGACTTCGCAACTTCCTCGTCGATTTTGGTGCTGTTGGAGAGGGTGTTAAGATTCTTTGAAGTCTCGGAGAGGTTACACGCAAGTTGCTTGTCGTAGCCAATGCGATGAAGTTGTCCAACTGCAGAAAATGATTCACTTTATGTTTGCGCAAAAACGAAATGAACTGAAACGAGACATGCTCTCAAACGCCAGCGGAACTGTGTCCACCCGCTCCATTCACCCGCGACATCCCATGCTCAAGACTGGCCTTGCACTTTAACTGACTCTCTGAAATGCATGCCTTATGGTGTTTCTTTTTGCAATTTCAGGACTACATAACAAACATTTATGCGTTTCGTTTAGTAACCACTTAATTCATGTTTAGGAGATCACTGTGTTTCCGGATGCTTCGTGAAATGTACTGCCGGTTTCACTGCGACCCAAATCAGGCCCAACATGTTCAGCTGCTGCGGACCAATCAGAACAGAGCCATCACCGAACTTCGCGTAAAAATTAAGCGCGATTTTGCAAATAGGATGTTTTGGTATTGTTCCGTAAGTTTCCTCTACTTGCGAATATTAGAAACGTTATGTGCCAGTTCACAATGCCGAGATCTCACAGTAATGGTGGAATGACATCCAGAGAGTTATTTGAGTCCTTGCAAAATGTTGATTGTCACGTAAATTCTTTCGATCTGCAGACTGCCTCGGGAAATTAGTTAAAATTTCAATTCAGAACCTTTCTTTCTACGCTGTTTGTCAAACGCCTTGACTGCGCCGTTCTTTTTGATTTTTTTATATAATTAACTGTCACATCTATTTTGGGATATTTTTCGCCGAAAGGCGAGATATTATTCTCTTGGATTCCATGATTGCAGAATGGAATTTTGGCAGCTTGATCTACCACTTAATTGTGCTGGGCGAAGTTGTTACCGTTCCTTTGTCGCCTTTGCCTTGTTCAAATTTATCCCGGGAAAACATTGTTTCAATCTACTGAAAAGATGCCTCCCGGTCCCCCTCATCAAGTCGCCAGATCATTTCGTCAGAATAATATGCAAGATCACCCGAGAAAAGACCAGATATGAATTCCTACAATCATGCAAACAGACTCGGACTTACCCTCGCCACCTCATTGCAAAGACTGGATTTGGACATCATCGTTCTAGATCCGGACGAAAGTTCGCGTAAAGTCGCTCCAGCAGACTCTGATATTTTCTACACATTTGGACGCAGCATAAATCTCTCTCCTCTCAATAATTCTTCATTTTTGCAGCCATTCAGTTTGCCTGCGATTGACTGCAGTTAGACTGAGATTGGATGTATACCCTTTGTCTCCATAGACTTGCTAGCTGCCAAATAATGAGTCCTCAACCTGCTTAAATTTTTAGAGACGTAGAATAGCTCGGTTCCCAATGGTAAACATGATTTGCATTAAAAAACCCTGCACTATGGAGGAGTTCTTCCGCAGTCTTGGAGCAACGAGGAGAATGGGCGGTACTTCGCCCTACCTGATCGACTTCCAGCTCACCGACTAGATCTGCGGCCTCCAGACGGGTTGCTGATCACCGCCTCCCTGTGGTCTTCCTCCGTGAGCCATCAAGGAATTGGGAAAATCGTCTATGGATCATGTCTGACTTTTATTCAAATATACCGACTTGCTGTACTACCTGATGGGCGCCTTGTCTTTTGGTTGTTACGATTGGAGACAGGTCTGTGGGGGAAATTTGACAAACATGTTTATCGTATTACGCCTACACTCCTATATAAGCAGATTTCTTTGGGGATTATACGGTCATGACGAAAGCGCAAAAGTCGAATCTGTGGCTGGCGTACATATGTACAGCAATTTCTTGCATGAATTATGGGACTCTTTACGCCGGTTAGGTCGCAAGGCTGGCTGTCATAGGACATATGCTTTCTTATTGTATGCAGCGTATGATGCTGGCTTCCGGGGAAGCATCTTCCCCGCCAACTGTGGAAGTCACACTCACGAATATACCATTATACATGCAAAGTGAGTAAATCGGTCATATTTCCTAAATGGGATGCATAGATCATCATTTTTGTTGTCCTGTTTCTGGAAGGTACGAGTAAAGAGCATTGATAAATTTAAACGCACTAAATACTTCCAGGGTCTGTGGTTCTTGAACCAGCTACAGTACATCCGTTTCAGATTAGAAGATTACTTATCCCAACAATGCACGTCTCCTCGTTGAGAGGCAGTCAGTTCAGGCAAAACGCGAGTTATTAATGCAAAAAGCTATGTTTTCAACATTTTTGGTATTCGGAAAATGGACGTCTATTAACTTCTCAGTTCCATATGTCGGTGAGAGAAATCTCACATTACTTTCGAACCAATTACAGAAGCATCGGACTAAAATACGCAAATTTCTGTATCAAAAGATAATGGGCCAAAGGGGGAGGAGCGTTATCACCGCTGTTCTGACAGCATAAGCTACAACAGCTGAAGTCCCTTTACCGCTTAACTCATGCTCGCCGATACAGTCTTGTCTCACCCATGATAACAGACGCTTTGTGGTCTTTTGCAATTCATTGGAGAGAAGTTTAGGATTCAAAGCATTGTCGGACACCTACTTTTCTTGCCCAAACACTGGTAATTATGGGATAAACCGCGAAAGTGCAAATATCTGCGGAGGAAAACTTGCTGTGGTAGAAATTAAAGAGTGACTTTAGGGAACCAGTTGGGAAGGCAGAGACTCGATCTTTGGGAGTAGAATTTATTTCGCGCGAGTTTTTATCGTCACGGTCAGTTTCCTTATCACAAGCTGCAACAAGACGAACATTTGTCGCAGCATCTGTAGGATTAATTTGTGATGCCGTAAATGGTTCTTTCAAGGAGGACTTTGGCCAACGGGATCTGCGGTTTCAGAGAAACCGAATTTTTCCATCTTTGATGTCAGCAGACACAGAAAGACAGCTTTTGTGTCAAGACGGTAAAATTTTTCGGCGAAAATAGCCCTAAACTCCATAGCCTAGGAGACGATTCCATAATTTTGCTGAATTGGCTGTGATAAACATGGGGACCGCAGCGAGAATCTAACTCGCGACAGTGCACTTGAGGTTTTAGTAATTGAACTGCCACCGCTGCCGCTAACACCACCGTCGCCGTCACCACCATCACCCACACCACAACGTTCTTCACCACCACTGTCACCACCACCTCCTCCAGCACCACCGCCCTCACCATAGCCGCCGCCACCGTCACCATGACGACTGCCGACACCACCACCTCCACCATCACGACACGACCACCGCAACTTCGACACCACCACCATCACCACCACCACCGAAACCATCACCGCCGCCGCCACCGCCACCATCACCGCCTCCTCCACCACCGCCGACAACACTACCACCGACAAAACAACAATCGCGACACCACCACCATTACCACCACCATCTGTAGCTTTTTTCATGTAATTCTTAACGTCGATTTTGTTTATTTGCACTAAATACCTTACGAAATATGTCGTCTGCTTTACACGGCCGTTGTCACTTCTTCTCTATAGCGTTCGGTGTTTCTTAATTTTGAGGTTTCGATAAAGTTTAGACATCTTCGTCTCTGTCGATTGTAACATGAAACATTCGGTTAAAAAACGACCGAAAAGGTGAAATGAGTCCTGCTGGTAAAGTAAATGCGGCGGAAAATCCCAGTCGGGATCTTGAATGGACATTTTTGCAGCTTGAGCCGCGTGAGGTCGGGCACTGACACGTTGCAGAATTAGTTGGCTATGATTCATTAAAGCGACATGTCTGGACTGCGTTGGTGTTCCTCTTCACCGTCTGATTCTGCTCAAGCATTGCGTAATAGATTACGCCGAAAAACCACGCTGGATTTAAAAAGTCCGTACAGAGAGAGTCCGTCAAGGAAGGGCTGTTGGTTGTTTGCTTCTGCGATCGTTTACAAAATTAATTGCAATGAAGGCGACTGCAGCTATGTGGGAGAAACCGAGCCGGAATTGCAGACTCGCCTTTAAGAGCACAAATCCGTCATTCGGAGGTTGGACCCTAACTCTCAACTAGCAACACACGTTGGAGAAACTGGGCATACTTTCGATCTCCAGAGAGCTACCATCTTAGGCCGGGGCAACACAAAATCAGAACGACTAATTCTCGAGGCCTCATACTCCGATGTCCACTCCATCAAAAGGCATATGGACCTTCCCGCAGCTTACAAAGTCCTACGTAATCACAATCGTATAGCCCAGGACCAAACAACCACACTGGACTTCAGTGGGTCATACGGAAACAGTCCGACGGCGCATTTACTCGGCGAGGAAAATATTAACCAGCAGACCGACCACCAGACCAAGGCTAAATCACTTTCTTCGCAACGAGGCTGTGACTCACAAAGCACGCAGATAAAAGGCCCGCCCATCATCGTCCAAGACGTTGAGGCAGAGAGAGAAGAGGAAAATCGATCGGCATGAGGCCGATCAACGCGACATGCCACATCAGCTCCTGGTCGATTAAGTACATTGGTCAGATGTAATTATGTAGCCCCACCTGAAGTAAAAAAAAACCCCAGTCACCTGTAATACGGGACCAGTGGTAATAGGGGCTTTTACAGATGGGACCGGAAAACACACAGGCGACGAGGGTAAGTTGTTGTACGTAAAAGAAAAGTTATTGGGAATGCGCGGTTGTACTTTGAATGGTTGCGAAATAGTTGCCTTACCTTTAACCCCTAACTATAACCCCTAATCCTAAACCCCAGTCCTAACCCCTGACCATTACCGTTAAGTGTAACCCCAAACCCTAACCCTTAACCCCAACGCCAACAGTATTGTGTCCATCAGGTGGGGCTACCAAACCACATCTAACCAGTACATTTTACGCCGACCGAGCACTTCGAATCGTCAGTACCCAAATAAACCCGTCCCAATGAGCCCATCTTTTTCCTCCTCCCAATCCAGCAACAGGCAGATCACGGACTTTCGAGGACTCGGCTTCGACTGATATGGTGTTTGGCCGATCGGTGCCTACTCACTCCTATCTTCGCTTCACATTGACGTAGAGACACTACTATTTATCTCTGTTGATCAGGCAGTAGAGTAGTTTTCGGATGTGCCCCCGGGTACCTTTGTACCACGCGTGCAAATCGACAGCAAATGCTGCTGCTTTCCAAAAACCATGTGGCACCTAGCTTCTGAACTATTGCATTGCTCGCTTGCTGACCGTTTTCTTTCAAAAGCGCTTCTGGATGGTGCCCGCTAAAGTCAATCAGTCGTCCGGAGACGGGGGACGTTTTTGCTTTCGAAGATTCCGCACATCATCTTCTCTACAAACAACGCAGCTGTCACAAGTAGCTTTGGTAGCTTTAAAACCTCAAGTGCAGAAGGAAGGTACCAACTGCAGCTTCATCAGTTAGAACCAAAATTAGTAGATATTGAACGTGGTTAGAGGTGTTGAACTTCTAAGTAACAGGTCGCGAAAGCGAGCCTCAGGTGTTGTACGCTTCGGTATGACTGGCTGATGACGGCTAATAAGCCAAAAATGGTCATTCCAGTCTCCCTTGTCCTTGTCAATAGTGCCATTCTTCCTATGTCATGCACCGCTGTGCGGCTGCTGCTTGGACTCGATAGAGGGCCCGTAGGGCACAACGGAACGAGTGAGTTTCGTAAGAACGATCGGTGAGCGCCTTCTACCATTGTTTATTCCCGATCGTAACCGACAGGGCAACGGGCTCGTAACCCAGTGGTTAGTGGCGTGAAGTTCTTACCAACAGGTCGCGTGTTCGAGCCTCGGGTGTTTCACACTTTGGGATTGTGTATGACTGACTGACGATGGCTAATAAGCCAGAAATGGCCACTCCATTCCCTGTTATTTTTATTGGTAACACCGCCCGACATATTATCAGTATTGCGTCTTGCAATAGTACATTCGATTTCACGGCTAATATGTGACGTTATAGCCATTCCGATCGACCGTGATCCAGTCCCAACGATACGTTATTATCGACAAAGACAAGGGAGACTGGGATGGCCATTTCTGGCTTATTAGCCGTCGTCAGCCAGTCAAACTCCCCCAACTCGAATCCGCTGTGCGGCGGCTGATTAAGCTCGAGGGAGAACCCCTAAGGCACAACGGAACGAATGAGTTCCGTAAGAACGATCGGTGAACGCCCCCTACCATTGTATATTCTCGATCAAAACCGACAGGGCTACGGGCTTGTGGCACAGTGGTTAGAGGCATGGACTTCTAACTAACAGTTCGCGAGTTCGAGCCTCGGGTGTTCCACACTTCGGGCTTGGGTATGACTGGCTGACGACGGTTAATAAGCCAGAAATGGCCATTTCGGTCTCCCCTGTCTTTGTCGGTAATAACAAACTGCTTATATCACGCGCCGCTGTGCGGCTGTTTTTGGTCTCGAGAGAGAGCCCGTAAGGCACAACGGGACGAGCGAGTTCCGTAACCCGATCAGTGAGCGTCCCTCTACCACTGAACGTCGCGAAAAACGAGGACTGTGGCCTTGTAAATCAGGTAGCCTATTTAACAAAACCTGTAGAGCTTGTTGCAAGAAGGCTACCTGACGGGATGATTGCATTTGAATGAAACACGAGGACTTGATAGGTAAGTAAATGTAAACTGATCTCAGAGTTGTTTTAATGAGCAATAGTCGCGGGAACTTCATTTTTGTTGGAGAAACGTAGACGTTGTCAAGGCAGGAAGTCAGCACCGGATACCGGGAGACAGAGGAGGGATGTCGGTAATGTGTGGGCGTGGTGTCCTTCGGGCTCAAGAATTTATAAGAACGAAACACGATAATGTTCACCTTTATTAAGAGAAGTTGTTGTTTTGAGATGCGAAGATGATGGCTCAGTTTCAGCAGTCTATTGAAACATAATTTCTGTTTATACTTATTTGGAGAATTTCCAGACGGAGAAATACCCAATCGAGACTGCTCCCCAAACACTGCCGTAAAGTACAAAGCTTACATTTCAGCATTTTTGGGAAGAGAGAAAACAGTAGCGTACGACAATTATAACCATCTGATAGTATCGAATGTCGTTTGGCCGTGCCGAATCCGAAACTCCCGCGGTATAGTAAATTCGTCAAGTCGGTACTCTTTGCAATATTGTTTCAATTACAGCACACCTATTGAGCGTCTCTTGGATTGGCGTTTATGAAGATTTATTGTCCATACCCTGGTGCGAATGCCTTTGCAATAACCAAAAAATTCTGTGTTATTTTCATCCTATTTAACATGAAAATTTCGTGTGTTTCTAACGCCTGTTTAAAATCAGATGTATATGCAGCGCATTTGCAAAGGTCCTCGAACTCCCCACGAAAGTGCGCAGCTTGAACCGATCACAAATCCATTTTTCGTGTAATCTGGTTTTTTTAACGAAAGAGGAATTTACTGTGATGGCATCGGAAAACCCAACGCAATTCTGAAAAATTGTTCCGGCCATTCCTAGTAAGATTTAAATCCTTATGCACTGGTGCTTCAGACAGTCGGTTCGCTGTTGAAAAGTGTCTCCATACCGAATGCATTGTTCTCGATAGTCCTAATTTAAACTGTAAAAATGCGATGCGCAGCATAAAGTTGGCTTTGAGGCTGACGCAAACGGTAGAACTCAAAAAGATTTCGCTGTATTTAAAAATTTAGGACCAGATTGCTACACAAATTTTTGTATCAAGGAACAATTGGCCAAAGGGGGGCATTACCACTGCATTCGTGCAGCCTTCTTTGTACTCCATTCAGATATAAAACTGTGCGATTCAAGTTTGTGCAGTTTTCCGAAAAATCTGATAAACTGCAATCATAAGCTTATAAAAGGATGTAATTTTACAAGGGGATAATTTGCTGGCGAGGAGGTTGGCAGTCATACAACGCCCATTTTGCGCCCTAAGGAATGTTGTAGCTGGAGTATACGCTCACTGCTTTCTCATCCAAATGTTGATAAAATCCTTAAGATAACTAGCAAATACAGAAGGAAACGGATGCTCCTATGATGGTTCTTCTGGAAGTAGGGCTTTAAGTTATCGAGTTTAAAGAAAAAAACCCGTAACTATTTCCTGGCTGCGGTCACTAGCAAGTGAGACGTGCCCATCCCTCATCGCAAGCTCGAAGTTGTTGAAGAATAACAGTTCTAATACTCTGAATTTAGTCCGCTTACTTGAAGTATGTATACCTAAATGCAGATCATCTGCGCTGTGCTTGTGTTTTCATGCTTGTGCTTATAGTATCAAATGCTAGACAAAATCATGACGAACTGAAAAGGCAGTCTATCTTCGCCTTTAAAGTGAAGAGGTGGACTGCCTAAGAAAATTAATATTAACATAGCCGACGAATTGGTTCGTGCAAGCCCTCCAGTCAGACAAGATCCATAACCTCTGGGCCAAAAGTCACTGTCACCATCCGTTGCCGATTGCAATGCCTACGTTTGCAAATAAACGACAAAACCATCTC